AGGATAACTGTGTCATTTTGTTTTGTTTGTTTTTGTTTTTTTGTGCCAGGAATTGAACTTGGGACCTTGCACTTGCCAGACAGGTACTGTGCCACTGAGCTATATCCCCCAAGCAACTCTGTCATTTTCTGTCAAAGCAGGATACTTGTGAGAGGGAAAGGGTGTGCTACTGATAATTACTTCAGGACAAAATTGGTCCCCGTGGTCACCCTACGTATAGCTGAAACTCAAGCTCAAAAACAAGAGCAGTGCCCTTGGTATCAAAGTGATAGGAATGCTAGGCGAAAACAGAGACATAGAAAGTGTGCTTTAAGTGTTTATTAGTTAGAGCTGGATAACAAATTACACCCCATATTAGTGACTCAAAACAAGAAGTATCCACTACGGCACAGGGCTTTCTGGGTCAGGAATTTGAAAGTAGCCTAGCTAGATGGTTCCACCTCAGGGTCTGTCATGAGGTTTTAATCAGATATTGTCCAGAGCTACAGTGATCACTTCACCACAGCCAGAAGTTCCAGTTTTAAGACAGCTAACTTACAGGGCACTGGGCAGGAACAAACTCAGTTGTCCACTCAGTCCTTTCCTGTGGGGCTGCTGGAGGATCCTTACAACACGGTGGCTGTCTTCCCTCAGAGTGAGTGACTCTGGGGTCAAGGAGGAAACTGAATGTCCATCACAAATTGGGTTCAGAACTCATACACTGTTACTTCTGGAGTGTGTGATAGACACTAAGACCAGCCCATGCTAAAATGGAAGGGGATCAAAATCCATTTCTTCAATGAAGGAGTCTTCTGCATGTTTGATCATTTTTGTTGTGTCTGTTTTTGACCTACCCTGTTTGCCGTTCTCTGAGTACTGCCTCTGCCAGGCGAGAGAGGGAAAAGATGACATGTGCAGCCAGGAGAGCTACCCCAGCACTGGTATTCCTTTGGGTGCTGTTAGTCTCTTGCGGCACTTACATCCGGAGGGCTACTGAGTTTCACTTGCAAATACACAGGTAAGTGTGGTGGTTAGGGTTGAGTGTCTACTAATTGGCTTTGGGCTCCACCTGGGGGATTGGTGGAACACATTTCTGCATGCCTTTGGGTGAGTCATGGAGGAATGACCTTGGAAACTACACACTGTGCCTGGCCTTTTCCTCTTTAGCACTGTGTCCCTGCTCTACTATGTGACTGCATGAACTAAGTATCTTTGCTTCTTCACGCTCTTCCAGCATGTTAGAGCCAGCAAACCATGCACTGAGTTCCCTGAACTGTGAGTCAAACTAAACCTTTCCTCCTTTAGGCTGTGGGTGTTGAGTATTGTTTCCCCGCTCTGAGTGGATTGATATAGGGGGAAGGTAAAAGGTCAATTGGCAGATGACATAGGTAAATACACATGGAGGGTCTTTTCCTGTCCCTCTGACCCAGAGCATCTATGAATGTGCTGCCCCGACCCCACCATTCTTTTATGCCATTAAGATGGGCCATTAAGTCCTGATTCTGTGTGAAAATGGACTATAGAAGTTTGAATCTGCCCAAAAGAGATTTCACTGACAACAAATGTCTGAGGAGGTAAAGGCATGGATTCTTAAAGAGAGAAAATCTACAAAAAGAGAAAGGACTATGAGTTATTATAGGACAAGAGGAGCAGGCATTTCAGTCTCCCCAGGAGATGGAATTAAAAAAGATTTCCAAGAAATTTAATCATGGGGTGATTGTGTTCATTTACTTTTGCAGCGAGCCAGGGGAACTGTGCTGGGAGAGATAAAAGCTGGTCTGTGTGCTTGTGTCTCAAGTTCCATCGATAGGTCAAGCTGCAAGGAGGCCGGCCCTTCGCTTGCTGCTCACATCAGGACCGGCTGCCTGTAGAATCCTGGTGTAGGAAAATTTGTCTCCATTTTTCATCTGCTTGTACTCAAAGAGGATTGAGCTAAATGTGAGCTTGGGTAAGAAATAAGTGCCCTGTTCATTGTGAAGGCTGTTGGACAAAAATAGCACACAGGAAACGGTATTGCAAAGGTCAGTTCTTCTAGCAAGGAAGGGACAACAAGCCATCTATCTGAAATTTTAATGAGCAGATCCTGGCCTCTGACCCCACACCATTACCTAACAATCCAGTATTGAATGAGAAGTCAGCTTCCATTTCCTGTGAACGAGGAGGCAGAATTCCCATCCAAAGACAGACCATCTGCCGGACACAAGCTTTACTCTTTGCCTAGCTGGCTGTTGTTGACATGTATGACATCTTTATGGACAGAGTCAGTCCAGGATCCTTCCTTTGCAGAGATGGTGAATTAAAGGGTTTAGAAACCAGAGTCTGTGGTTAGGATTTTCTTTTCTTCTTTTTTTTTTTTCTCTCTCTGCAATGGCTGTTTTGTTTCATTTAGTCAAAATGGACAGTGTTGGGAGCATGGCATTTTTTGCGTTTTGCAGAAAACTTTGCAACTTCTATGTTTAAAAAAAAAATCAAAATTCATCGTAAAGAAAGATAGCTAAATATCAAGGAGGAAAAAGAAATTGATAATTTAAGAGAAAAAGTATGTAAGGCTCCCAGCCTAGTGCATAACACATAGTAGGTCTATTATGAATAAACCATTTACCTAGTCACAGCAATTCAAGTGGTCAGAAATTGTACTCAGCTGAAAGAAACTGTTGATCTTCGGGGAAGCCATTGTTTATTTCTTGCTCAGTGTCTCTGAAGTTTTATGGAGCACCAGAATCACCTGAGTATAACACTTGCTAAACCCTTCCTTGCCAGATCTTCCTGATCAGAACACTATCACACATGCCAGAGATTTGAATCCGTAGCAAACTTCCAAGAGAGCAGGTGGGTGGGAAGGCCTTGTACTAGTTCCTCTGGTGCTCATCACCTGCCTGGAGGTTTATGTTTTACTTCTACTTAGCAGGTACAAGAGATGGATGGCAGGGGGAGTGAGGACGTAAAAAGAATGAAGGTGTGCATGTACCACCTCCCTGTGATGAACGTAATCCTTATGTACTACAAACATGTACTAGGAAAAATAATTTAAAAGAAGGACCCAGGCTGTGCAGGGAACAGATCAGAGTTTAGATCTCCTCCTCTGGTCTGTGGTCCTTGCAAATTCTGAGACCTGCATATCCTGCCACTTCCTCGTCTGTATCCTCTATACTTTAATGGGAAATAAAGCAGGTAACACACTTTGGCACATTTAGATCACACATAGTAGGTAAAAAGTAATGTAGTAGTTAACAACCTTATTATTAAATAGGTTAAGTAAACAACTCACACTGAACAATAATAGTGATTTATTGGTTTTTCCTCCAAGACAGAAAAGACTTCTTTTTAGTTTACTTCTCAATGCCCTCACATAGCATTGCTAATTCAGAATGAGCGATGAATGACTGAGTGAATAAGCACAAGAAGGACATGCAGAAGTGGTCAGTGGTAGGGCTGGATCTTAGTGGAGGTCTGACCGCAGGCCTTATTTTCAGACTGAGTACTGAGATGGGCTGCCTCTGGGAAGGGACTGATGAACAGTACCTCTGACATGTTGTAGCTGCTGCTCTCTGCTTTTCACAAGTCCTGCCCCTCATTAGGAAGGTTGACCTGGTTTTGGGGAACACTTGCAAACGCTTTGAGGAAAACTACTCTCCAGTAGGAAAAGATGGTTAAAAAAAGACAGAGCTTCCCCAAATGCTGGCTACTAAGTCTTAAGAATGGAGCCTGACAGAAATCTCTGGGAGGTCTGACAGAAATTCTCAGAGTGGAATTTCTGTGGGTGGTTGTGGGCCCTGGCTGCATTAGAATCACCTGGGGCTTTGAAACCTGTCCAGGTTCCGCCTATCATAGAACTCTCTAAGTTCACTGGTCTGGGCCTCTGGCACTGTCTTTAACCCTTTCTATTCTATTCCACTTCCGGGTGGCCTCTTGCTGCTAGCAGCTCAAGTTGTCCCGGTGAAGGCAGCAAGACTTGTGACAAAAATTGACACTAAGGCTCAGGAGAAGGCAGAAGAGGTGGAGAAGGTTAGAGGGCAAAGCCGTCTGTTTCTGTTTCTGTTCCTGGACTGGTGTTTTTCCAAAAGTTGGTACTGGGGCTGGCCCTGCCACCCAGAGGCCTCATTCAGAAGACATAAGAGGGGGCCTGGGAATCTGTACTTCTAACAAGCCAACCCAGATACTTCTTAGGATTAGGAACGTTTGGGAAACCTTACACCCTTTTCTGGGTCCAGGCCATAGAGAAGAAAAGTGAACCAGTCCACCAACATAAAACCTAAAGCAATACATCAAAGCCGTCGTGCCCAGGTGCCTCATGCCTGCGAGTTCAAGCTCACTCCTTAGGCGCAGGATGCCCGCTGGGACTTCGGGCCGGGCCCAGGGAGCCTGCAGCAGCCCAGGACCGCCTTTCAGAGTTGCTACTCGCGTCCCGCCGCCGGCAGCGAGCAGCCGAGTCATCATTTCCAGCCTCAGCCTGGAAAGCTGGACCGTGCGGCCGCGTGTGCTCTTGGCAGCCTGGCGCCCGGGGCCCAGCGGCCACATCATCCTGGGGCGGGGAGGTGTGCGCTCCGGACGCTCAGCCGCCAGCAAGCCACGTCTGTGCGGCCGGCGCGCGCGGCCCGGGAAGCGCCCCACACCGAGCTGCCCCCGGGTGGGCGAGCGGCGGCGCTGGGCTGGACCCGGGCGGGCCGGAACCCGCAGCGGTCTCTAGGACCCGCGGGACGCCTCGGGCGGGCGGGGGTACGGGAGAGGATAATTTGTTCCGTGGTCATGAAAACGGCAACTGTTGGCCGTGGATCCATTTCACAGGCCTGCCTGCTCTCACTAACGACCTCTCTCGTCCCCGGGCCAACTCGGACAGTTTGCTCCTTTATTGCAACGGTCAAGGCTGGCTCGTGCCAGCACAGCGCGCGCGCGCACACTCACACCCCCGGGGGTGGCTGGGTGGGGGACTTTTCTTAGAAAAATGAAAGGCTAGACTTGCTCCTCAGCAGCGGGGCGCTGCGCGAGGGGCTCGGAGCCGACTCGCAGCAGCAGGAAATCCCTCCGGTCGCCGCGACGCCCAGCCCCGGCTCGGCGCCCGCGTGGGATGGTGCAGCGCTCGCCGCCGGCCCCGAGAGCTGCTGCAGCGAAGGCCGG